CCTCAAAATTTCAGCTTTCTTGTTTTTCCAGTTTCCGAGTTAGTAATTTTTCCACCAAAATTTTCGCACGTTCGTACATTGCCACACTTACCGGGGAAGGGGGCTGGATTTGAAGTCTTTAAGTTGTACGTAGGCAAGGAATATACCCTTAAAATTTCAGCCTTCCAGCTTCTCTGGTTGCCAAGTTAACAATTTTCCCGACAATACTTTCACGTGCTCGTACATAAAGCCACGCATACCTAAGGGCTGAATTTGAAATATTTAGCTCATACATGCACAGAGAACATTCCCGCAACGTGTCAGCTTTCTGCCCTTCCTGGTTCCGGCGATGGCTTTCCGGCCAAAATATTTACACATTTTTTTAAGGCATCCGTACGCGACACTCAGGCGTGTGCGGTTAATGACATTAAAACGGTAGGATCGTACATCGTGTAGGAACATACCCCCGAAGTTTCAGCTTTCTAGCTTTCCTGTTTCTCGAATTGAAAGTGGATGACAAAAAAACGCGAACCCACAGACACACATACACACACGGCCTGTTGCCAATATGCGTTTTTGCATTTGCATATATACAAAAATGCATAAAAATGCAAATGTGAAGGAAGACGGAAGAGGATTATGAAATCTGCAAAATACACTCGTTTTTGAGTTTACTATGAAGTTGATTATTTGTCATGCCCGTGTGCGGGGAATTTTGCTTCGAAGCTGAGTTAAGGCCGCATGTGAATGTAGAATGTCCTTGCAAAGTTTCAGCTTCGCAGCTCTAGTAAGCGAAATAGCCATCGCTACAAATATCTTTGAAGTGCCCTAAGTTGTGGCGCAAGTGTAAATCGAAACTCAGTTTAGGTACACGGTTTTCCATATAAACAATAAATATTCTGATAGAATTTCAGTCACTTTTTTCCGGCTAGTCTTCGAGTTGCACAATGCCAACTGCAAACTTTGACGTGACTGTACGCGTGGTGTAGAAGTGCGCAGTTGCTGAATTTGAAATGTTTAGCTCATAAATGCACCGGGAATGTCCCTGGAAGTTTCAGCTTTCCATCTTGTCTGAATCACGGAATCGCTCCCCGCCAAAGAGGTTTGCATATTTTTTCGGTGATCCGTAAGCGAGATTTAGGCGCGTGTGACCGAAGATTTTAAAACGGAACGGTGACACATGGGATGGAAATATGATCCGAAAATTTCAGCCTCCCAGCTTTCCTGGTTGCTGGATTGAAAGTGGATGACAAAGCTCACTCGCTTCCGAACATACACGCACACACACATGGACGAACTCTCGACAGTATGCGTTGCTGCTCACTGTAACAACAAAAACGCATAATAATGCAAAAATCGTCTATAATGAATGAATGAATGAAATTTGCATGACAGAACTGTATATAAGGGCGAAAGCTCCGATGCAAAGTCACTGTCACTAGTATGCCGAATCCACCAGCGAAGGAGGACACTTGGGCTTTCGGGCCAATTGGATCGCCGTTCCCGGATAATCCGGTTCGAGTCATTGGGGAGCAGAACATGTATGTGGCTCTGTGGTACAAGCATGGCAAGCCCATACATGGGCGAGCATGGAACAACGGCGGAGTCATCGAGTGCTCGTTCCCATACATCAAGGCTGAATTGACCGGCGCTAAGGACCTCGGTGGTCAGATTCAGGCCAGTTTTGTTCCTATTTTTTTCTCGTCTTGTTCGTTATATTTAATCGTCCATCCTCCATAGTCCAAGATAAATGCCCAAATGCAGGCATGACGACGAGAAGCATTCAGCCCAGGTCATTAGTCTATCCCATCTGTGCTCAGTTACTGAAAAAAACACTTCCATTCCATAGCCAAAGATATTGCTGTCATTTTTTCAGAACGTGAAGTTACTTCCAGTTGCTTCTTACCTCCGCACTGCACATGGTTTTCAGGTTTTGCAGTATAAAGGGAACCATCTGACACTGGGATTTTGGTACAACTGGGTCAAATACAAGGACCGCTTTGATGTCTTCGAAAAAGGAGCGGAATTACTGAAATGTGGTGATTCGTTTCCCATTTTTTGGAAGGAGCGTAAAGAGGGCGCGCTGCTTGGATACGTCGACAACAAAACTGAAATCGGTGAAATGCAAATTCACTTTTTTTTATTAGCGCTTTAGTATTGATTATCTCCGAATTTGTCTTGATATCCTAAGTTTGCGCGAAGTTATGATTCTAAGCAATCCCTTGATTAACTGGAGTGCTAACACGCTCGTTCGTTGTGCTGCCCTTTCAACTTTTTGATTATACAGCTTTCAGACAGTAACATCACCCAAGTCTTTCTTGCCTAATCTACCAGGTGCTTTACCCTCTTGTCTAATCTACCAGGTGCTTTAAAAAATACATTTAAAATATATTTCCAAGTATTTGCTTGCTTAAGCCTTCGACCCATCGGCGCACAATGTCCTCACCAGCAACTTGTGGGTTATTCCCAAAATTTTTTTGGAAACGCAAAGACTCCGAGTCCTGGTCCTATAACTGACAATTTCAACAGCACATGACTGAAAAAATGCAGAAGAGCAACAAATTATCCGAAATATTCAGCTGTTGATTTTTATGCTTTTTGTGCTGTGCAACAGCACTACAAAACACATATAGTCACGGCGTTGTCTGTGTGTTTGTGTTCGCAGCAACTTGTCCGTAACTTTCAACTCGAGAACCACAAAAGCCAGGAAGCTGAAAATTTAGAGGAATGTTCCCCACTCACGTGTGACCCCGCAAATTTAAGTTCAGCCTTCTCGTACCTGCGGGTATCATGTGCGGCCTCGTGAAACTTCTGACGGGTAAATTATCATCTCGGGAACCACGGAATCTAGGAAGCTGAAGTTTCAGGGTAGTATCTCCCACCCACATACAGTCCCTCAAATTTAAATCCAGTCTTCCCGTACGCCCAAGTATCACTTACGAAGCTGTGAAAGTTTCAGGGGGAAAATCATTATCTCAGGAACCGCGAAAATAGGGAATCTGAAATTTTAGGATGATTACCAAATTTAGACTCAGCCTCAATGCACGTCTGGGCACCATGTACGGCCCCATGAAAGTTCTGGTAGGGGATTTAATATTATCTCGTGAACTGCATTAGTTAGAAAGTAGAGGTTTTAGCGTAGCATCCCCTGCCCACATATGATTCCGTTAATTTTCAACATTTCGTGGGAGTTTGGGCAGGAGAAATCATTATTTCGAAAGTCAGAAGAGCTAGGAGGCTGAAATTTTCAGGAGG